TACCGTGATAACATTGTAACTGTTTGGGTGACCACACTGCAGTATGTAGATAACATTGTAACTGTTTGGGTGACCACACCGCAGTACGTAGATAACATTGTAACTGTTTGGGTGACCACACTGCAGTACCGTGATAACATTGTAACTGTTTGGGTGACCACACTGCAGTATGTAGATAACATTGTAACTGTTAGGGTGACCACACTGCAGTACCTAGATAACATTGTAACTGTTAGGGATGACAACTCTGGTAGAGAAATCTGAACTGAAGACTGTAATGCAGGAGCTATGTTCTAGTTCTTTCATCTTCCATCAGTGGTGTAGTTAAAAATACAACTAACACATTGGTGACTTTTGTAAGCATATTGTTTAATTATTTCCATTACTGTCAGAAATATGAAATGCATATTTTCATAGTGAGAATATTACCATTATGTCCTCTACTTTTCCCTTCTTTCACTTTTCCTCTTTGAAGACAGATCTAGGAAGAACTTTATAAAGAATAACAACAAACCTCAGGTGTCAATATCCAAGATGGTCTCTAGGCATCCATTTTGTTTTCTTGAGCAGTCACAAAATTGAATGAGTAAACCTATTAGTTCCTTCCAACTGGAACCTACACATCAAGTTTGAAACATATCTTTCCAGTACTTCCGACAAAATAGCAATAACTATCTGAAACTCTCAAAATCCAAGATGACCCATTGTCAGCCATTTAATTTTACTGGACAATCTCAAAATAAAATGTGCACACCTCAGGATCTACAGAAATATACACATCAAGTTTGAGAGTTATTCTTCCAGTACTTCTCATAAAATAGCAATAACAAACCCCACCTGTCAAAAGCCAATCCTGTCAGTCATTATGTTTTACTAATAAATCACACTCCAAATTGTATGGTCATTACTATAGACTGAGGGAAACCCAACACATAAAGTTTGAAAGTCATCCTTCCAATAAAAAAAAAATAAGGATTGTTAACAAATGGACAACCAATGAGGGACAATTTGTGCCCACTCTCTGATGAAGGTGGGCTAATATCACAACCAGAAATAGCTTTGTCTAAATATAACATGTGAAATAACTCTGTAAAGAGTGTTGTAAAATACTGTCTATAATAGCCTTGTAAAACACATTTAAAAAATAGTCCAGTAAACATACAATATGAAAAAGCATTTTTTTTTCATCAGGATTGCTGATAAATATATATAAATAGTGAATTACTTGTTTATCAAAGAGGTAGAGTATAACATATATATACAATATTTAGCAGTTAGTCTGTAATAGTAATACAATGGCACATGACACTGATTATTGGAGTCACACTTGCCCAGGTTCATGTTTGTAGCACTAGTAATTCAGTGATATTTTATGGTGGACACGACACTGATTATTGGAGTCACACTTGCCCAGGTTCATGTTTGTAGCACTAGTAATTCAGTGATATTTTATGGTGGACACGACACTGATTATTGGAGTCACACTTGCCCAGGTTCATGTTTGTAACACTAGTAATTCAGTGATATTTTATGAACTTCATATGTGAACAGGTTCATGTTTGTAGCATATGATTATTGAAGTCTCATACTTGTGATTATTCAGGTTCATGTTTGTAGCACTAGTAATTCAGTGATATTTTATGGTGAACTTCATATGATTATTGCGACACTGATTATTGGAGTCACACTTGCCCAGGTTCATGTTTGTAACACTAGTAATTCAGTGATATTTTATGGTGAACTTCATATGATTATTGAGGTCTCATACTTGTTCAGGTTCATGTTTGTAGCACTAGTAATTCAGTGATATTTTATGGTGAACTTCATATGATTATTGAAGTCTCATACTTGTTCAGGTTCATGTTTGTAGCACTAGTAATTCAGTGATATTTTATGGTGGACACGACACTGATTATTGGAGTCACACTTGCCCAGGTTCATGTTTGTAACACTAGTAATTCAGTGATATTTTATGGTGAACTCCATATGATTATTGAAGTCTCATACTTGTTCAGGTTCATGTTTGTAGCACTAGTAATTCAGTGATATTTTATGGTGGACACGACACTGGTTATTGGAGTCACACTTGCCCAGGTTCATGTTTGTAACACTAGTAATTCAGTGATATTTTATGGTGAACTCCATATGATTATTGAAGTCTCATACTTGTTCAGGTTCATGTTTGTAGCACTAGTAATTCAGTGATATTTTATGGTGAACTCCATATGATTATTGAAGTCTCATACTGGTTCAGGTTCATGTTTGTAGCACTAGTAATTCAGTGATATTTTATGGAGAACTCGACACTGATTATTGGAGTCACACTTGCCCAGGTTCATGTTTGTAACACTAGTAATTCAGTGATATTTTATGGAGAACTCGACACTGATTATTGGAGTCACACTTGCCCAGGTTCATGTTTGTAACACTAGTAATTCAGTGATATTTTATATTGATTATGGAGTCACACTTGCCCAGGTTCATGTTTGTAACACTAGTAATTCAGTGATATTTTATGGAGAACTCGACACTTGCCCAGGTTCATGTTTGTAACACTAGTAATTCAGTGATATTTTATGGAGAACTCGACACTGATTATTGGAGTCACACTTGCCCAGGTTCATGTTTGTAACACTAGTAATTCTGGAGTCACACTTGCCCAGGTTCATGTTTGTAACACTAGTAATTCAGTGATATTTTATGGAGAACTCGACACTGATTATTGGAGTCACACTTGCCCAGGTTCATGTTTGTAACACTAGTAATTCAGTGATATTTTATGGAGAACTCGACACTGATTATTGGAGTCATACTTGTCCATGCTTCATGTTTGTAACACTAGTAATTCAGTGATATTTTATGGAGAACTCGACACTGATTATTGGAGTCACACTTGCCCAGGTTCATGTTTGTAACACTAGTAATTCAGTGATATTTTATGGAGAACTCGACACTGATTATTGGAGTCACACTTGCCCAGGTTCATGTTTGTAGCACTAGTAATTCAGTGATATTTTATGGTGGACACGACACTGATTATTGGAGTCACACTTGCCCAGGTTCATGTTTGTAGCACTAGTAATTCAGTGATTATTTTATGGAGAACTCGACACTGATTATTGGAGTCATACTTGTCCATGCTTCATGTTTGTATCAACGTTTGATACCGAGTAAATGGAAAAATCTGATTAAATCCTCCAAACCACTGAGAGTAGGAGATACTAACAGATGATGCTGGTCAATATATACCTGTACAGATTTCCGTCAGTATATACCTATACAGACTTTACAAAGGTATTCAATTATCGAGTTCAATATAGTCAATATTTTCAATCATAAATCTTAAAGCTTCTCAGATGGAAAAAAATGGCATCTAATTATACCTGTGCATGTTTTAACATCAGAATTAAGTTATTAATGGACTATAACACAAATACTACACATAAAACATACATACCAGGAGATCCACAAGAGATCTATTAATAATTCTGTCATACAAGGCTGACCTCATTTTCATCATCTGTTATTAATCAAGTAGTCAAACGAATTTCTTCTGCTGTGACAACCTTTGTTTGAAATTGTGCTTTTAAAGTGAATCTGTTGTGAAGCCTTATGACTAGTGTAATAAAAAAATAATCAAATATAATACATACAAAATATAAAAGTGCTATCATCAAAATTCAATTCTTTTCTTAATAATTTTTTCACAAAAGATCTTTATACAGCTATTCAAATTTCAAATCAGCACCCGCCACTACAGATTTCTTAACATGGGTCATCCTAAAAATACACCATAGACACAGTCTAGCTACACCATACCGTGAACATGATTACTAAATGTCTAATAAATGTTTCTTTAAATGGCCTGAACAGTCATCACCTGAGTTCTATTTAAGATGTTTTTGTTGTAACACATGTCATAGAAATCATCTGGTTAAAGTATAATGTAAACATAATGCCAGTGTAAGTTGTACATAACATCAAACTGCTATCGCACATTCATACTTCTAACCAAGTTTTAATTATTTCTAATGAAGATCAAACAAATTCAGCTCCAAATTGTAAGTTTCCTTAATAAACTATTATAAAGTCTTCCCTCTTCCAAGGGGAAAATGTGGCACCTTTGGACATGAAATTCACAATGTAAACTCCTTAACCTCCCAATCCATGAGGAGCATTTGATTCTACCATATCAGAGTCTTAAAGCGATATTTGGAATATCAGTCAACTTGGCCTCATTTAGCTTTTGGTTTTACTCCTCAGAGCCATGGGTGGGGAACCATATAATCAACTTTTTTTTACCTCTGCTCATGGATAATTTTTGTAAAATTTCATTAAAATAGGTATGATGTTTTTAAGAAGTGAAAGATATCAACTGATTTATGGATGAACATGACACTTGACAGCATTACCTGAATACCTGAGATTTTGTCCCAGGTGAACTAAGAATTGAAAGTAGTAACAAAAATTTAAATGTCAAAATCCAAAATGGCTGTCAGTAGCCATCTTGAATGTATGATGACACTATATGAGTATGACATGCATTAGTAGACTCTAATCTGATATTTGATCAAGTTTTAAAATGTACCTCCACTGGAGTAAAACATCTTGATACCATGAAGTTCAAGATAAGGCATACATGGTAATATATCTAAAACTAACAAGGCTATAAGAAAATTGTTCCTAGATGTCGAGGAGATCTTCTCTTCTGTTCTTAAGAAAAGTAAAGTTTATATAAAAAATACACAAAATGTTTTCATAAACATAATGGAACAACATTTACCCTGCAACAGGCCTGAGGGACAGCATACTGATTCTAACTCAAAAACGGCAAGCTTATTACTTGACAATGAATTAGCACTGTTGTAATGCTACCCAACAGCAGGATCAGATGGATTTATTACCAGGCATGAGCTTATTGTTAAAAAAGTGAGTTAAATGTCAAGAACAACCTTTCAAAATGATGATTGTAAATGCTATGGAATTCTATTAATGTCAGGTTACTCCATCCCGATCCAATGAGGTAGAAAGTGGTCTTGGATTCCTGGTCCAAATTCCCATTCATACCCAGAACCTGGTCTCGCCACATTCTTATAATAAATCACTATTCCCTGGGTCATCCACCCAATAAACCAACCAAATGTTCCCACTGACATGATGGTGTGGTTGGTCATTGTCAGCAGACACATATCTACTTCTCCAGAATTACCTGTCACTATGTAAACGTCCTTGAACTTTCTTAAAGCATTGGAGGTCCAGGGGATATCATCAGAAATCACTACAAACAGAACATCCTTAAATTTCTGTCGGAAATAGTTCATTGAATTATTAAGATAACCCTCTGTAGCTACAAGTTTGCCATAATTAACATCACTCCTTTCAATGTGATCCCCACGTCTGACATGAATTCCAACCAAGACACTTCCTTGTAGAGGTTTCTTACCAGTTTCTTTCAAAATTTTCCTCATAGAAAACCTTGCCTTTTCTTTTATATCATCTTGGAAAACAAAAATCTTTCGTAAGTCTGCATCGTAATCTTTCCAATATTTCCAAGACTGGAAGAATCCACGAAACGACAAATCTGTATTTTTTTCCAAGTCTTCAAATGACGTATCATAGGCACAGTTCCATTTGTCATCAATCGTCCAGAAACACCAACACATGTATCTGCTGAACCCATACTGATCTCCTGTCTTGGGTTGGATTCCGAATGCCTTTGTCAGGTCCGAAGGAGGAACAATCATAGATAAACCCTTCTTTTGAGCAAACGCATAAAGAAAAGCATAATCAAACATCTGATTGGCCAAACGCCCTCGAAATTTTACACAAATGAATTTCTCTCGTTTCCAGCCCATCATATCGTAGAGATAGAGTTTCCAGCATTGTGTTGCTATAAATAGTACATACAGGAATGCAAGAAACAGCAGAAAGTAAACAAGTCGCTTCAACCCTGAAATATAGAATAGAAAATTAGTCAAAACTTTTTCTTTATTATTCACATAGACTGGTACACAAAAACTGAATCTAACTAATTATATATCCTAGGATACCATGATATGCAAAAACTTATTTCAAGATACTATACTTACAGTCAAAAACAGTTCGATCAAAACCATATGGTCGGTGTACCAATTATCTGGTTTACACAGAATCATAACCACAATAATGTTTAAATCTAGTGTTATCATACCTGCTGGTTTTATAAGATTGTCAGACCATGTGTCAAAATGACTCTCAGTTTGTTGAACTTGGAACAGTGAAAAAGATAAAATTTTCTTTTATAACTTATTGTACTAAATGGGTAGGGCTGAAGGTATAAAGAATCAACTGATAATTCTCTCACATGAAACCATAACCAGTTTTCAGAAAGGTAAGATTTTGGCATGTTATAATTCAGTAGACGTCCTTAAACACCCTGATGGTGTTCCTCATGGTGTTCCTCATGGCTCGGATCTACAATATTTCTCATACCTCCCTCCCCTGTTTTAAAGTCACATCTGAGATAAAACTGATAGCTGATACTACATCTTTGTATGTGATAAGATGAGGATGACCTAACACAAGTTTGTTCACTATAAAATGAGAAGGAAGCTTCATTTAATTAACAGTTATACAAATGGTAAATTTTGACTCTGAAAAAACTCTGGGTGCAAGTCTACGGATTTGATGGAGTGATTACAGCTAAGAGTAATTTTGTAATGGTTGCAAAATAAATCAAGTTTACAGCGTTTAGTTAGGGGATAGCCAACCTCATCAGTATTTCAGTCATTAAACCATTAAATCTGAAACAAAATAATTCCATGAAACTATTTATCATTCTACATCTCTACCACCTATTACCAGTATTATAAAGGTAAAGTTGCAGCTTAATCATTATTTCAAGGCTGTTGCCACTTCAATTGTATAGCATGAAGTTATGGAAATAAATCTCACGGGTTTAATGTAGGTTATATATCTTTTTAATTATACAGTGTACAGGAACATGGATAACATACAAATTAAGACCTAGTGACACAATTTGTATTTTAACCATGAAACTGGTAGGAGTGGACACATATTATACTATTTTTACCTGATCTGTGCTGTTACGTATGAATTTTTTGAAGTATAGTCAAGAGATATAGATATATTTTGTCTCTGAGCTACACAGCTATTTTGTGTGGTGTAGGAAAATGACTTTATACACAAACATACAGGTGTGGTGTTATACTAGAGCTTGTATACCAGACTTGTGCTCTCATATATGTTTCTTTTTCTGGAGTAGAAGTTGCTGAAGTTTACTTTGAGTTTACAGTTTAACATCAACGGAGCCAATTTGTAAGGCCATACAGAAAGGCCAGGCCAAAACATGAATGTACCCGAGTAGGCCAATTCTATAAATATACATACACTTTCCGTTGGTGAGGGCATGTAATGGTGGACATCGTAAATTCGCTAGCCGACCTCCTCCAAAACACCTTAGATACATCCTGTAAACAAAAGTAAATGTATCTTCATTAAAAAAAATTATCTAACATTCATGATTAATATCTGTATAATTAGTTTATTTTCTAACTAATGTGACTACACACCTGTGTATGTTTACCTTACACACATGTACGGTGTAGGCAGTGTCCCATTCGTACCCGCTTGACAATAAATTGTCACATGACTGGAACATGTAAATTCATCCATACTACACAATCAATACTAGGTAACAAAGATATATCCATTCTGTTAAAATATACAAATACTACCCATGTCCTCATTTAACACCGAGAATGATTTCCACTTACATCTTACCGGTGCGGTCACCTGGCGTTCCTCGGAACTTGTTTACCGAGGACGTTGTCGTTTATCGGTTGGACCGAATTGAACAAGATGTTCAGTTTATAAAGTTAAGAAGGAACAATAGCCTTATTGTTATATTCCTGATAAATCTTGACCAAAAAGTATGGTTTATAAGACCATGTAAGTTAAGTTACGGTAACTAAACAGTTATAAAGAAAACCAGTTTCGCTGCAATTTAGGAGAACTGAAAACATGTACTGTGGCACAACGACCTGTTACGGATTCCTAGTTACGTCCCCTTCATCGACGTTCCAAATAATCTGTTCAGCAGATATAATAATTCCGTCATTAAATAAATACGTTATCTCAAATCGCGATTTTCTAAGTGAGATACATATTCATTTAATGTAAAATATACGCTTTCTCTCGAGCGCGATGGGTAATTAACCCAGAGTGAAATTTGAACAGCTTTTCATAGAAAGGCACTTTCATCTCATGCTGTACGTTAAATGGATCAATCATAACGCTGTCGATAGAAAAAAATCTTCCGCGAAGATAAGCGATTTACATTACACAGATACTATTTTATAATCTATTGCACACCTGGATACATGAGGTACAATAATCTTTAATAATTTGGAAATAGACAAACTTGTCTTTTTGTGGTCTGTTAACTACGACGTTTGCCATTTGACCCATACGGTTAGTTTTAAGGACTAAAAAGTTGTGCGGCCGTACAGAGGTGATAAACACAAGATAACTGCCAAATTTCATGTATGTGTAAACCTTTTTGTTCTGCTTGAAATTATGTTATTTTATATTACATATATATACCTTTTAAATGATGAGGACCATTTTTTCCTGAAACAAGAGGTCCCAGAGGGATTAAGTCTTTGTACGTTCGTTAAAAGTTGGATATTTTCTCTTCTTTTCTATCTATCCCTCTTTTTTTGCTCTTAATTACATGAAACTTGAAAATTCCTTTAAGAAACAACGATGATTTTTAACTGCCAAATCTAAGATGGCCCCCTGTCTACCATTTTGTTTTTCTGATCAGTCCCAACATCAAACGGGTACAACTAAGAACCAAGAGGAACCTACATACGAAATTTGAAAAAAAAAAGACCCATGTAGGACTACTCATAAAACAGCGATAACCAGAACTGACTGCTGACAGATGGACAACTGACGAAGGGAAATTTAAAATCCCACCATCCGACGGTGGGTTGAAATTGGAGCTGTAAGGATAAACAGCTGTGGGAGACTTTGGTGTGTTATCCATTTGAGGTGTAGTTTTGATTTACATAATATTCTTTTCAGATTTTTAGGCAGTCGTTCACTATTGATTTTTTTTATAGATTTCCGATGTATTTTCATATGTTGTTTACTTTTCAATATTTTGATGAGATTCTTTATTGTTGAATATATATTGACATTCGTTTGAGTGTACTGTTAGTGACAGGATCGTCCGTTGATGTTCGTTGTTTTCTCTCTCCGTTTGTAGTAAGGTTCTGTCTATACCTAAGCTATATTCATAATTTAGAGAAATTATTCTTAACTTATATCCGACCACTTCTTGAATATGCATGTGAGGTATGGGGCAACTGTAGTGAAACAAATTCCCTGTCATTAGAAAAAATCCAATTAGAAGCTGCCAGAATAGTCACAGGTTTACCTATTTACACAAAAATAGATTTTCTATATAGAAGAAACAGGATGGTTACCTCTTTCAAAAAGAAGAGAAGCTAGGAAGCTCTCCCTCTTTTACTCGATAGTTAACAACTTGGCACCTGATTTCCTTATTGATTTATTACCTGATATTGTTTTTTTCCTTCTGCAACTAATCTTTGGAACAACCTGAACAATGATATTAGAAATTCACCCACTTTAAATTCTTTCAAGCTAAATCTTAAAAAATCTATGTCTGTGAATAGTACTCTCCACAAGCAATTTATTAGTTATGGCTCCAGAAAATTAAATATCATCCACTGTCGTCTCCGAAACCGTGCAAGTCCACTCAATTATGATCTTTTTAGGGCTAATCTTGTAAATTCACCAGAGTGTCAATGTGGGCACCCGTGTGAAGATTCTTATCGTCTTTTTTTTAATTGTCCTTTATATGCTGATCAACGTAGAGCACTATACCAAGAATTAATATGGTATGAAGGTATTGTTAATGTAAATATTCTTTGCAATGGTGACTCTAATATCTCTGTGGATGATAACCTTAAAATGGCCAAATCGGTCCAAACATTCCTAGGAAGGTCAGGAAGATTCACTTAAATTCTCTCTCCTCTTCTTCGGAAAATTTTACATTGGAGAGACGAGACCGTGTTCGAGTACATAAACAGCACAAAGCCGAGTAAAGCATATGCAGAAGAATTTCCAGCTATTTCTATTCTACATAGTATAAACGGAAACAAGTCTGGAACGAAAAGAAAAATATTTCATACGTCACGGTCTTTATGTCGTCATCAATTTATTGTAATTGTTGTTAAATATATGAAAATTAAGAATGGCAGCACTGACACATAACACTCGTTTTGTGGTATTTTTTCTATATTTAATTCCTGACAGCGAGACAAAATAGACATTTTCATAATGCATAAATACTGCCAATGGTACTTCTATAAATAAATACCACCAAATACGGATTGCAGCGATACATTTAGTATAGTTATAGTGCCTGTGTGTAGAATATACAATATACCGGGCCTTCTTTTGGAAGTATCTGACTTAGGAAAATTACTAAAACTATTGCATCATGGAACTAGCACACTTCTCCATCTATATTTTGTATTTTGACATTTTTCGATCACTTTGGATTTTCCTCAGTCGCCTCTTAGGCTTCAAAAATTAAGTCTTTGGCATCGCTGACGATACCTAGGACAAAACAGCTGTGTGATGCAGTTTAATTAATTATTTGACTCTACTGTATCTAATACTAAATTGTAATTCTCACTTGTGTGTATTTTGTACAATCTTCATTTGCCTGGTAAAACTAAGCCACTGCGTCCTATTTAGTTAGTATAATGTAAAATATTGATACCGGAACTCAGGTTTAGAAAATACAACACGAAAACGCCTTGTAAAACACACTATAAAATACAGCACTGTATACAAATATAATTTAATGCATTTGTAAGAGAAAAAAAAAATTTACCCCACTGGGTCGAGATGTAAGTTAACACTTTTAGTGACGACGATCCCCAGGGAAAGATAAGTTAACACTTTTAGGACTTGGTGTAAAGTCACTCCCTCGAGGTGTAAGTTAACACTTTTAGTGACGACTTGGTGTAAAGTCACTCCCTCGAGGTGTAAGTTAACACTTTTAGTGACGACTTGGTGTAAAGATTAACTAATTGGTGTAATGTCTCTCCTTTACGGTTTAAGTAAACACTTTTTAGTGACGACTTGGTGTAAAGTCACTCCCTCGAGGTGTAAGTTAACACTTTTAGTGACGACTTGGTGTAAAGTCACTCCCTCGAGGTGTAAGTTAACACTTTTAGTGACGACTTGGTGTAAAGTCACTCCCTTGAGGTGTAAGTTAACACTTTTTAGTGACGACTTGGTGTAATGTCACTCTGTTACGGTGTAAGTTAACACTTTTAGTGACGACTTGTTGTAAAGTCACTCCCTTGAGGTGTAAGATAACACTTTTAGTGACGACTTGGTGTAAAGTCACTCCCTTGAGGTGTAAGATAACACTTTTAGTGACGACTTGGTGTAAAGTCACTCTGGTAGGGTGTAAGATAACACTTTTAGTGACGACTTGTTGTAAACTTTTAGTGACGACTTGTTGTAAAGTCACTCCCTTGAGGTGTAAGATAACACTTTTAGTGACGACTTGGTGTAAAGTCACTCCCTTGAGGTGTAAGATAACACTTTTAGTGACGACTTGGTGTAAAGTCACTCCCTTGAGGTGTAAGATAACACTTTTAGTGACGACTTGGTGTAAAGTCAGGTGTAAAGTCACTCTGGTAGGGTGTAAGATAACACTTTTAGTGACGACTTGTTGTAAAGTCACTCCCTTGAGGTGTAAGATAACACTTTTAGTGACGACTTGGTGTAAAGTCACTCCCTTGAGGTGTAAGATAACACTTTTAGTGACGACTTGGTGTAAAGTCACTCTGGTAGGGTGTAAGATAACACTTTTAGTGACGACTTGTTGTAAAGTCACTCCCTTGAGGTGTAAGATAACACTTTTAGTGACGACTTGGTGTAAAGTCACTCCCTTGAGGTGTAAGATAACACTTTTAGTGACGACTTGGTGTAAAGTCACTCTGGTAGGGTGTAAGATAACACTTTTAGTGACGACTTGTTGTAAAGTCACTCCCTTGAGGTGTAAGATAACACTTTTAGTGACGACTTGGTGTAAAGTCACTCCCTTGAGGTGTAAGATAACACTTTTAGTGACGACTTGGTGTAAAGTCACTCCCTTGAGGTGTAAGTTAACACTTTTAGTGACGACTTGGTGTAAAGTCACTCTGGTAGGGTGTAAGTTAACACTTTTAGTGACGACTAGGTGTAAAGTCACTCTGGTAGGGTGTAAGTTAACATAATACACATAGTTTGCGTATGAAAGTAACATGTATCATTGGAAGTATTTTTTTCTTTGTTTTGATCAACTTTTTTACGGTTTTATCACTAAAAGTTTACAGTGTAGGATAATATTCATAACTCGTACCCTTTATATACATGTCAAGGTCAAGCGATCTGTATTATGACTAATTGTAAATGCCCTAAAATTGTGCAAGAAACACCACATTATCAATGTCTGATCACTCCATCCCGATCCAATGAGGTAGAAAGTGGTCTTGGATTCCTGTTCTTAAGAAAAGTAAAGTTTATATAAAAAATACACAAAATGTTTTCATAAACATAATGGAACAACATTTACCCTGCAACAGGCCTGAGGGACAGCATACTGATTCTAACTCAAAAACGGCAAGCTTATTACTTGACAATGAATTAGCACTGTTGTAATGCTACCCAACAGCAGGATCAGATGGATTTATTACTAGGCATGAGCTTATTGTTAAAAAAGTGAGTTAAATGTCAAGAACAACCTTTCAAAATGATGATTGTAAATGCTATGGAATTCTATTAATGTCAGGTCACTCCATCCCGATCCAATGAGGTAGAAAGTGGTCTTGGATTCCTGGTCCAAATTCCCATTCATACCCAGAACCTGGTCTCGCCACATTCTTATAATAAATCACTATTCCCTGGGTCATCCACCCAATAAACCAACCAAATGTTCCCACTGACATGATGGTGTGGTTGGTCATTGTCAGCAGACACATATCTACTTCTCCAGAATTACCTGTCACTATGTAAACGTCCTTGAACTTTCTTAAAGCATTGGAGGTCCAGGGGATATCATCAGAAATCACTACAAACAGAACATCCTTAAATTTCTGTCGGAAATAGTTCATTGAATTATTAAGATAACCCTCTGTAGCTACAAGTTTGCCATAATTAACATCACTCCTTTCAATGTGATCCCCACGTCTGACATG